TAAATCCGGCTCTCAACTTCCCATTAAACATGCTAGGAGTCAGAAATTTGCCACTTGAAAGGTACAATTTTATGATTACCATAATGGATCCACTCAAGCCTCATTTGCGCCACAACATTTGAAACTAACTCTATTACTAACAATGCTTATACAGTCAGGTTTCATAAAGAAATATAACTCATTTAGAACGCTCTCACGGCTTCTGTTAACCCTATTATTACCTCTACGTTTGCTAACACACTAAACAGGTCTTGAGATTCTCTGCATATTGCTTATAGAGGAAAATTCCAAACTCGAATCTCAAGTGTCCATGAACAACTAACACGAATTATGAAAGAATCACATTCTATTGACGAATATATTCGAAGTATTCGGTTCTATGAGAGGAACTAACTACTGCAAGTGCTCTTGTGACAAACTCTGAACTCATTGTAAATACGTATGAGTGATGGCCTTGAGTTTCATGATATTTCTATCATACGAGCAGACGACACAGTATCACATATATAAGAATGAAAAGATGATCGATCATGAGCTCTTCCTCCTCAATGAAGAGACTAAGGAATACCTCGTCCTAATCATAGCCTCAGTAGCACTCGCAATAAATCCCATACCAACTCCTACAACTGCAACAAATGCCGCCTAAATAACAATAATAATCCATGAAAGCCTTGGTTTTAAGAATTTACTCCAGTGGCGGCTCTTCTTGTCTTCTCTCAATCTTTTCTTCTTGGAATAATAAAGAACCGTTCAATTACTCCACCACCATAGAGTCTATGACTCCTCGGTACCATACATCACATGATTAAATTTAGGACTTAAAGAGGGAAGGAGCTTTTCTACTACAGACACATCTTTAGCTTTCTCCCATTTATCTTCTTAATTGATTGACAAAAACCTTTACGTTTGAACAATAATTCAAAATGGATTCAAAGTCTTTCATTTTTAAAATTTTCAAATCAGCCTATAGAGTTTAATTTTTTTTCTTCTTCACTTTACCAACTTATTGGAGGAAATCTTATAAACAATTTCAAGCTTCTTTGGAGGTGGTTGCATATGCCACCTTCTCAAATGTGGCATCATCAAGCAATAGTAGATGAGAATGAGAGCTTGTTCATTTTTTTTGTCTTTGCTAAGATATTTTTTTTATTTTGAGGCATTGCATATCATCTATCTACAATCTCCCACACGTATTGACTACCAAGAATGACATTCATTCTTAGTCACCATTTCTCATTGAGACGAAAGTATTGAAAAGAAAGTGGACCACTATTTGTCATGACTCTGAAATCACATTGTCAAAAAATAATATCTCACTCAAAAATAATATATACGGTAATTAATAAAAATAAAATAGCAACAAGGACACCAAGATCTTTTTAACGTAAATTTTTTAAAAAAATAATGGAAAAATTACGACTTGAGAGGAACAATGTATTAACACTATCGTGGGAAACTTTACAATTTGGTAGTCTCAAGAAACTATTACACACTCAAAACAAACAGTTCTCTTTATCTTACGAGTTTACTATAATACTGCTCGCACTCTATATTTTTTCTTCATGGACTATTTTCTAAAACTGTCTGTGTCCGGCTCTCAACTCTCTGTTGATCTCAATCTCTGTATTTATGTGTTGTGAATGATGGAACTTAGTTCCTTTTATAGTTTCTAGCAACAGAAACCAATCAAATTGGTTTTGAAAACATGTTGTGGTACCTTATCTTTTTCTTGTTATGGGACAAGTTCCCACACAAGGCATGTCTAGTTGTACTCGCTATTTGTCACTTTAATTAGCTGCCGTTCCCCGGTTTCTTGAGTATCGGCTATTGATTGATAAACTATAAATATGTATTCCTAGGATTGAATGTCTTAGTAGCTTTTCTTGCTCTGCATATGTTACGAACTCTTTGCTTTTGAGAAGTTATTTCTCCTGTGATGAAGAAGAAAGATAAAAAATTAATACAATTTGATCCAATTACTTCTAGATGAAAATGCGAAATGAACCAGCCAAGTTTCAATCTTTGAACATCAATTAAGTTATCGAGGAAACAAAGCCTATTACAAAGGCCTGCTTGCACTGTCATGTGGACTTTGGGTTTATTTCGTGCAGCGTATTAAAGCAATCCAAAGAATATCGAAGAATTTTTGCATATTTGGGCCAATGAAGGCTTGGGGAAGTTAATCTTTTCACTTTATAGAAATTAATGTTGCGGATATCAGAAAACTATGTGGATTTTCTCTTTTTATTCTACATTGAACCAAGGTTTGGATGTCTCCAAAAGGGTAGGATTTCTTGTTTGAATTCTCTCTTCCTATGTCCGATTGGCTTGTTTGTTAGATAATTGAACAATGATCTGAGTTTCAGTACTTGAGTTTATGATTTAAAGTCTTCCGTTGTCCGTACTTGTTGTTCGAATATACTATTAACCATGCAGTTTAGACATAGTATTGTATTTTTATTCTTTACGAAATAATTATTTATTTAATTTATTTAATTCAATAAAGTACTATTTTAAATAGAACATTTATTGCATGTGTGTCCTTTAGTTATGTAGTATACAATTTAGTGTATGGAGTCTTAACTCATGCACAGAAGATTAAATTGTCAATTCTCATAATTAATAAATAAAGTTTACAATCGAAGATATTATTGGGCAAAATATCTTGATGATTGTAGCACAAGATTATAGTATAATTTGTCTTGATTGTGTGAGTGGTTTTACTCCGACTTCTTGTGCTAGTATACTTAGTGTATACTGAACGGATCAAGTAGAGAAAAAATATTTTGTACTGAATATATATAAAATATTTTCTATAATTCATTAAATGAGCTTATACTCCTAATCTTGATATAATTATTATGATCAATGTGATTTATTTATTGTTTTGACTTATCAAAAGGTACAACTCTATTCAGAGTTAGTGAATGCCTAATAAATTGGATAATAACGAATAACATTTGTGAAATAATAATTAGTTGATAGACTCCATGACTCGGTTTTGAGTTTGATGATACACTTTTATGTAAGCTTATAAGTTTTCATATGAAAACCCGGACGATGGATTTTGTATCCGTCACATGAAATAGTTTAAGCGAAATTATAGAGGATTTAATTAGTTGATTAAATTAAATTATCAGTGATTTAATTTAATTAACTCGTATTTGTGATCTTAACACGGGAATTAAAATAAGTGTTAGTGAATTTTTGAAATTCATATTGAGGAGTTCAATTATAATTTTTAGTGGAATAAACTGTAATTAATTATAGTAGGAATTAATTCATCCAAATTTTCAAATTATGCTATAATTGGTAGCCTCTTACTATTTATGTGGTCCATGCTATACCTAGTAAAAATCTAGACTGACTTGGGTAAAAGAAGAGACCTGGGAGAAAAGTCATCCTGTAGAGTTAGAGTAGGATTCTGCTTTCACAAGCAGAATCCTACACGTTTTTGGAGCCCTCTTTGGCTGAAAAATGAGTCTACATAAGGAAGACATTTTTCACCCAATGACTTACTTTTCAGAGTTGTATTGTTCTTGTCCACTCAAAGCAAATTCATCCAAGGTCTTACTAGGACCATAGCAAAAGACTACAGCCCTAGATTATTGCTCTAAGGAGGACCTGTGCAACGTTTTCAAGAGGTTAGTGGTTCCTAATCTCGTAATTATATCATTATCTAGTTTACATGTATGTGATGCCTGACTTGTATGCTTGCTTCCGCTGCGCATGTTCTTACAATTGGTATCAGACGCCGTCTTACATCTAACTAGATAATGTGATACAACATGAATAGATTAATATTAAATTGTGTTGTTTAGTGATACATGTTTGGTATGATTATTCTATGTCAAAAACGTGACTGTTTTAATTAGTATTTTAATTCTGAAATTATGGATTAATATATATANACAGCGTTGTTTTTAATAAAAACGTGACTGTTTGTTGAATATTATTAATTCTGTTATGATGGATTTATATATATACACACACACACACACATATACATATACATATATGCATAAACAATGGTCTTATATTTCATGACAATCTGTTTTAGTTGCGTTTTTTTCCATAATCACTGTATTGTTTTAATAAAAACATGATTGTTTTGAATACTATTAGTTCTGAAATTATGGATTAATATACGGAATTATGAATAGTGCGTTTTGAACGGGTGAAAATAGTATTATTTTTCCCATGTTTGTTCGAATTTCTTTTTATATAACGCTGTAATAATATTATTATTTTGAGTTATGAAATCATGGATTAACTACATAAGTATATTATATGATTTCAACGAGTCAAAATAATCAAAACCCTAAAAAACACCAAAATCAGAATGTTTCAAATAGGTCATGAATTTGGAATTCTGAAATTCTGTCGATCTCCGATTGACCTCAAATTTGGTAGGTTCATCGGAAACGACCCTGTGAGAAATACTCATGAGCTTAGCTTTGCTCATGATGTCGTCTTTTGGGCATTTGGGGTCGTTTAGATGGGTTTTTGGCCATTTTTCTATTTTCTGGAAATTATTTTTAATAATTTTTTTTTTAAGAAAACAGTGTTGGTAGGGTTCAATTTCCATGGTTCCCAATCATGTTTTATATTAATATAATAAATTTATATGTTAACATAGGTCTTCTTCCACATCGGATAAGTTCATTATAGATGACTGATGTAGTTTTGCATCTAGTTAATTGATTACATGTATTAACTCTTCAACTGAGTTACATATTGATTCAATAAAACTAGAGTTTATAAATGTGATATTTACCTATCTTAAATTAACAGTTTACTCTCCATCTGAGTTGGTCCTGTTTTAATTTATGGGGTAAATATCTTACATAACTCATATATTTTGCATGAATAGTTAAGTTTCCCTAATGAATCTAACTGTTCAATGAGCATGATTATATGTGTAATGTGTTGTTTTGAATTTAACTATTCTAATTATATAACTAATGATCTATTTAATATGAATATCTCTCAGATTAACCATGTCTTCATTCAACCCACTCACCTCAATTTTGAACCAAAACAAGTTAGAAGGACCGAAGTATGTTGACTGGAAAAGGAACCTTGATATTGTCCTAACTGCTGAACGTTACAAATTTGTAATCACTGAGGAGTGCCCAAAAAAACCTGATGAAGATGCTACTTATGATCACGTTATGGCCTATGACAAATGGGTCAAGGCTGATGAGATGGCACGATGTTACATTCTTGTCTCTATGGCGAATGTTTTGCAACATCAGCATCAGTCTATGGGGTCTGCTTATGACATACTCGAAAATATCAAAGAGATGTTCGGTGAGCAAAATCGTGCGGCTAAGCAGACAGCCATGAAAGCTCTTTTGAACACCAAGATGGCTGAATGATCATCGGTGAAAGACCATGTTCTGAAGATGATGGGTCTTCTGAATGAACTGGAGGTCCTTGGAGCTGTGATTGATAAGGAATCTCAAGTTGAGATAGTCATGCAGACTCTGGCTGACAGTTTTCAATAATTTCGCTTGAACTATAATATGAAAAAAATGGATTTGTCACTGGCAAAATTATTGAATGAGCTGCAAGCGGCAGAATCTATTATCAAACAGTAAGCTCCAGTTGTGGCACTGAATGTTGAGAAAGCTTCGGTTTCTAAGTCGAAAGGCGGTAAGAAAAAGAAGAAGGCTCAAAAGATTTTGGCACCTGGAGGTGCGGCTGGTGTGAAAAAGCTCAAAGGAAAGTGCTACCATTGCAAGCAACCTGGGCATCACAAAAAAGCAAAGCCCTGGCTATCTGGCAAAGTTGAAAAAGCAAGGTAATTCAAATTTAATTATCATTGAAACTTGTTTAGCGGTTGTCTCTACAATGTTTTGGTGTGCAGATTCAGGAGCCACTAATCATATCTGCACCACTTTGCAGGGTTTTCAAGAAATGCGGTGGCTAAGTGAGAATGAAGTTTGTGTTTTTCAAGCGAATGGCGAGCCAGCACTAGCTTTGGCACTAGGAGATATTCGAGTTTCGTTTAGTAGTGATAGAGCTTTAGTTTTGAAAACTGTTCTCTATATACCTTATATTAGAAGGAATTTAATTTTTGTTTCTAAAATAATGGATGTTGGTTATAATATTTATTTTGCTAATAACTCTGTTGTTATTAAGTTTAATAAATATTTTATCTATATTGCCGCTAGAGTACATGACCTTTTTATTCTTGATATATCTCCTCATGTGCTACAACAACCAAAAGAATTAAATAACATTAATATACCACATAAAAGAAAACGTATTTCTAAATTGAGCCAAACTTATTTGTGGTACTTACGTCTAAGTCACATATATATAAAAATAAGATTTCGAGATTGGTCTCTGATGGACCTTTGATTTCATTGAAAGTGGAGTCACTACCAACATGCGAATCATGTTTAGAAGGTAAAATGACCAAGAGACATTTTTCCTCAAAAGAAAATAGAGCCAGCGATAAGTTAGAATTAATTCACTCTGATTTGTGTGGACCAATGAATATACAAGCAATATGTGATTTTAAGTATTTTGTGACTTTCACAGATGATTACTCAAAATATGGATACATTTATCTGTTGCGCCGCAAGTCTAAATGCTTTGAGAAATTCAAAGAATTTAAGACGAAAACGGAGAAACGACATGATAAATATATCAAAACATTGAGATCTGATCGTGGTGGTGAATACCTTTCTGCGGAATTCATTAAATACTTATCAGATTGTGGAATTACATCTCAATTATCTGCCCTAGGAACACCACAAAAAAATGATGTGGCAGAAAGAAATAATAGAACCTTTATAGAAATGGTTAGATCAATGTTAAGTTATTCTGATTTGCCTTTTTCCTTTTGGGGATATGCTTTAGAAACAGCAAATTACATTCTAAATTTGATTTCTTCAAAGTCAGTACCTTCAACTCCAGTAGAATTGTGGACTGGGCGCAAGCCAAGTTTACGGTACATTAGGGTTTGGGTTTGTCCAACATATGTGCTGAAAGGGAAAGCAGATAAATTAGAACTGAGGACATAAGTATGCATTTTTATTGGATATCCAAAAGGAACTAAAGGCGGTTTATTTTATTGTCCAAAAAAAAGGTAATTGTTACGACAAATGCCATATTTTTAGAAGATGACTATTTAATGAACCATATTCCTAGAAGTAAACTAGTTTTACAAAAATTAAGTAATGGAGTAACTAATGACTAATCTCTGGAACGTATCTCGGAAGCCAGTATTGATATATCAGTGCATTATCATAGTGGGATAAATGTCAATAGGCAGCAGAACGCACAAGAGCAATTGCCTGACATCTCACTACCCCAAAGTAATGGGAGTAATATTGAGCAACCTCAGATTGTTGAGCAACCTAAAATTATTCTGCAACCTGCACTCCAGGAAGAAGTTAATCATATCCCAGCACCTCAAGGTGTGGAGGATAACGTTGAGGCTTTAGTTCCGGAAAATGATGTTGTGATTCAACAACAAAATCAGACTACACCTGTAGTGACTAGTTGTAGTGGGAGAATTATTAAAAAACATGTCCAGTTTGCGCTCTTGGGAGAATCTTATGATAGAATCCCTGAAGAGCCTAATACAGAACCCCGTAATTACAACGAAGCACTACAGGATACAGACGCTGATAAATAGGTTGTTGCTATGAAATCTGAAATGGAGTCCATGTACTCCAATCAAGTTTTGGATCTTGCAGAACCACCTACTGGAGTAAACCCATTGGTTGTAGATAAATCTATAAGAAAAAGAGAGGAGTGGATGGAAAAGTGCAACCTTTTAAAGCTAGGCTTGTTGCAAAAGGGTTTACTAAAAAAGAAGGGATCGATTATGAGGAAACTTTTTCGCCAATAGCCATGCTTAAATCCATTAGGATTCTCTTATTCATTGCTTCTCATTACGATTATGAGATTTGGCAAATAGATGTCAAGACGACTTTTCTTAATGGAAGCCTGGATGAGTGCATCTATATGGCACAACCAGTTGGTTTCATTAAAAGTGGCAATGAGCACATGTTGTGTAAATTAAAGAAATCCATTATTGGATTGAAACAAGCTTCTAGAGCATGGAATAATTGTTTTGACACATAGATTAAAACCTTCAGTTTTGATTAATGTGAAAACGAGTCTTATGTCTATAAGAAGTCAGATGGAGATAAAGTTACATTTTTGGTTTTGTACGTAGATGATATTTTGCTCATAGGAAATAATGTGAGCATGTTGAATTTAGTAAAGGAATGGTTGTCCTCGCATTTTGATATGAAAGACTTGGGACAAGCAGCACATATTCTTGGGATCAAGCTTATGCGAGATCGCAAGTGAAGGATATTAGGCTTATCCCAAGCACTTTATATTGATACTATTCTCACCAGGTTTAGCCGGCAAGATTCCAAGAAAGGTTTTCTCCCTTTTAGGCATGGAATCTCTATGTCAAAAGATCAGTCCGCAAAAACAACTGATGAGATAGAAAAGATAAATGTAGTCTCTTATGCTTTTGCTGTAGGGAGTCTCATGTATGTTATGCTGTGTACTAGACTTGATATCTGCTTTGCTGTTGGCATGGTTAGTAGATTTTAGTCTAATCCTGGACGAGAATACTGGACTGTCGTTAAACATATAATCAAGTACCTGAAAAGAACTAGGGATCATATGTTGGTTTATCACTCTGGTGATCTTGTACCCATTGGCTATACTGATTCAGATTTCCAGTCAGATAGAGATTCAAGAAAATCTGCCTCAGGATATGTTTTTACTTTTGGAGGTGGAGCCATAAGTTGGAGGAGTGTCAAACAATCATGTGTTGCCGATTCCACAATGGAAGTCGAATATGTGGCTGCATCTGAGGCAGCTAAAGAGGTTGTTTGGTTCGGGGACTTTCTAAAAGAGCTTAATGTAGTTCCTTCGGTTCAAGCACCGATTTTATTTTATTGTGAAAATAGTGGTGCAGTTGCAAACTCGAAGGAACTAAGAAGCCATAAAAGGAGTAAGCATATTGTAACGACCCGGCCGGTCGTTTCGAGAGTTATAGCCCAGTTTTCCCCATTTCTACTTCTTTTTGTTTTATTCAGCTATATTATGTTATATCGGATTAGTTGGTTCGGGTCCGGAAGGAACTCAGAGTGAAATGAGACATTTAGTCTCATAATAGAAAAATTGAGTTAGAAAAGTGGACCGGATATGGATCTATGTGTAAACGATCTCGGATTCGAATTCTGATAATTTCAATAGCTCTGTATGATGATTTTGGGCTTATGAGCGTATCCGAAATATTATTTAGAGGTCCGTAGAGGAATTAGGCTTGAAATGCCGAACGTTTAATTTTTGAGAAGTTTGACAGGGGGTTAACTTTTTGATATCGGGGTCGGAATCCGATTCTGAATATTTGAATACCACTGTTATATCATTTATGAATTGTGTGCAAAATTTGAGGTCAATCAGATGTGATAGGTTCCGGAGTCGTTTGTAGAAATTAAAAATTTCAAAGTTCATTAGGCTTGAATTGGGGTGTAATTCATGCTTTTAGCGTTGTTTGAAGTGATTTGAGGATTCGACTAAGTCCGTATGATGTTTTAGGACTTGTTGGTATATTTGGTTGATGTTCCGAGGGGTTCGGGTCAATTTCGGATGGTTAAAGGGTTAGATATTGGACTTGGAACTCTGCTGTAATTTTTCTGATGCACCATTTAGTCCTTCATCGCGTTCGCGAGTGGAGCCTCATGTTCGCGAAGAGGAACTGAGAGGCTGGCAATATTTGCTCTTCGCGTTTGCGAAGGGTGGACTAGGTGTGCATCGCGAATGCGAGAGGTGTTACGTGTTCGCGAAGAAGAGAGGAAGCAGCCGAGGACCCCAGGAAATTGGTCTACGCGTTCGCGTAGGGGGTGTCGTGTTCGCGTAGTGAGGAGGAAACGAAGCATCGCGTTCGCAATGGGTTGGATGCGTTCGCGTAGAAGGCATTGAGGCAGAGGGATTTTGTGCTTTGCGAACGCGAGGGTGATGTCGTGTTCGCGAAGGAGGAAGTTGGACGGGAGCTATTTTGTGCTTCGCGAACGCAAGGCACTGACCGCATTCGCGAAGAAGAAAAGTCTGGGCAGTGAGTTTAAGTTCTGAAAATGGGACTCCCATTTTCAGTTTTTGACGATTAAGAGCTCGGATTTGAGGCGATTTTGGGTGATTTTCAAAGGAAATAATGGGGTAAGTGTTCTTAAGTCAATATTGGTTAAATTACCCTAATCCATGGTTGTTTTTATCACTTAATTGGTGAATTGAGGTGGAAAAATTTGAAAACCCTCTTGGTTTAAATTGAAGATTTGAGGGTCGAGTTGGGGTCGAATTTTGGTAAAATTGGTATGGTTAGACTCATGGTTGA